ATCCTCAAACTACATAGAGTGTGGTTAACTAGCTTTGAAAGTCCCACTGTTATCCAAACTAATCGCAACAAAGTCATTCGAAGTGTGGCACAAAATGCTGCTATCTTAAATAAGTATAATGACTATAGGCACCGGCTACAAAGAGATAAGACATCATTCAACATGCGGAGCTCTTGTTCAGCCCCCTCAGTATGCAACTCCGAACTGGAAGGCTATCAAAACATTCCGACAGCTGAAGGAGGTCTAGGTTACCAACCAACTTCTAACACTGGGCACTCTCCACACCAATCCGGATTGGTCCCGGGGTCTGTGTCAGCAGCTCAACAAATAACGACTAACAACAAATACAAAAATGTTCGGTATGAACTCTTGCCTGAAATCCGTACCCAAATCTGAGGCTATCGCCTGTATTTATACCAATGCGCAAGCTCTTCCCGATAAGTAAACCTATCGAACTTGCCAGGTCTCAACCCCTTGGGACATCGTCATGGTAGCTGGGACATGCATGAATACTGAGATCATTGATAGTAAGATAGCTGGGTCCGTCATGATTCTTCTGCAAACTGTCCGACCTGTTAACTGGAGGCCGGGTAATCATGTATTACTGAGCTGACCAGCTTATCGATATTATCGATTATCTAGAACCGAAAGTTGTCGCTCCTCTTTGGTGCCGTCTGCACCTGATACGTGGTGGTGTGTTTAATAACCGTAGACTACTGCCCTCCAACATCCACCTTAGAAACGGTTCACTTAAAGCGAGAAGCAGGATCGGTACGCTTTAAAACCAATACGCGAATATAAGGCCAACCTCCGATGAGTGGAGAACGTCAGAAGTAACGCTAGGAAAAATTTATTAAGTAGGGCGAAACGCCGTCTAGTGCTAAAAATAAGACACCGGAAGATAGCTAGCTAGGGGAAAGGTGTGGCCGCGTGCGCGGAGAGCAAAGATGGCCGCGGAGCCGATGAGCGTCGCGCCGTTCGAAGGCGGATGCTATGTTGACTCAAACAAACGAGAGCAACGTTCAAACAGGCGAGCGGCTAATTTGCTATGTACATCGAGGAAATATAATTTTGTGATTTTGTAATATTTTACACAGCATGCGGCAGCCAAACAGGTAAATCTCCAGGTCACTACACACTGTTTAGATTCTGCAATGAACTGTTTCCTTGCACTATCATACAGTAGTGTTCTTCTACAACGTAGCTATTGTAGTCCCTACATCAACGTTTTCCAAAAGACACAGTAGCGACACGCTAGCCCATATGTTAAATAGGCCATTTCCAACGGAAAACGAAATGACTCGAAGCATATAACGTCTTCACATCCCTCTTCGTAAGCTTGCGGTGTGGAAACCTGCATCTGCGCTCAGGTGAATCGCTCCTTGATACATCTAAAATCTGGGCTTTATTTTTCCAGTCATTTTACCCCTTGGTTCTGTGGTCCTCGCTGTGGTTATCCTACGGTACTTGTCAAGCACTCGCGTTTTTACTAGCTAAGGGGAAGTGTGTTCGCTGATGGAATCCACTGGTTTGTAATAGTTGGCGGGGCCTTCAAATCGGCCGTTGATTATTTTCTCTTCAGAGTCCTTTTTTACGCTATCTACTGCAGACCTATCAATTTTGTCTGACTGCTCCCGCCTTTTTGTTTATCTGGATCATTCTGAGGTTATCGATGTTATCCCACTCTGCCGACTTTTTGAAATAGTTCAAAGTGTAGCCGGTCTGCGGGCATCACGGTAACACGTTAACACGTTAACGGGTAAGAGGTCGATCGGTTTCGCTTCCTGTTGTCATTACCCTCATATTCCTCTCCGGCACTCTTCCTTCCCAATTTCGTGCTTCCTTAGCTGCTTCCTTTACATCGGCAGCTTACTAGGCGGCTCGAGCGTACAGCCGTCTACGAGGTATTTATTTTGCATTGCAGCTTGTCACCCTACTTGGACACGGAAGAGCTCAGAACGCCGAACCGGAGGAATATTACAAAAGACGCTGCGTAAAGTACGCCTTATGTCGCGTGTGGTCACAAAGTAAGAAACTCCATCAAACGAATTTTAAAACATAGCTTTGCCAAAAGAAGAAAACACCGTGTTGGCTGGCAAGCCGGACTCAGACGCTGTCCAATTAATAAAGCGCAAATTCCGCTACTTATCTCTAGTAATGTGCGCTCTCTATATGGAAAAGGCGCCGAACTCAATGCCACTATGCAGCGTAAGGAATATACAAATGCAGGTATTGTAATGCTACAAGAAAGTTGGTTACGCCCTTTGATGTGGACAATGAGGTTATTCAACGCGATGAATATCGCATCGTAAGATCCGATTGCCTCCGAAAGCCGCAGAATCGCGGAAAAGGCGTTGTCACGTACGTGAACCATGCGTGCCGTAATTCGATTACCTTGCTCTCTACATACACAAAATCATAAATTAATTGTCATATAATTGAATATAAACCAAAGAACTCTTAGTGGATTTCTTTCCGTCGTCATTGGAAATATCTGCATCGACTGAGCTCAAGTATTTTGCTGATCATTTCTTACCTGTGTTACTGACTAAAATTGAGTGCTCTGTCTGTATCGTTGCTGGTGTATTTAACACATGTGACACGAACTTCATCAAGACACTTGGTCTAAAAATACGGTATCTTTCGAAACCAGACTTGATGCGCAACTGGTTTTTGTTTTCACAAACAAAATTCATTTGCTTTCTACATTAAAGCCAGGTTCGCTCCTCAACTCGGACCACTGTGTCCTGAAGATAAGTTCAATTATTTACAGTTCAATTATTTACAACAAAAAAGCCTTCAAAACCATCAGATGGCGAGACTGCTCAAAAGAAAATCTTGCAATACCTCACCCGATACTGACTTCAACTGCTTCTGTTGGTTTCACGGACGAAAACCTATCGTTGAGTGTGAACACATTACCGAATATACCAACTTCTGCTTTGATCTATGCTGCCACGTTGAAACTAGCTACCTACCCATGGACAGATTCTCTATGCCACTACTGAAGCGACTTAGACAGAAGAAGGGAAGGGCATATAAATTCAAATTGTCTGCCCAAGTTAAACGACTAACGTTGGCTGAATACGCAGTGATTGAATACGTAGTCGCAAGTATTGTGACCTTTGAAGGCTTTTAAGGCTGCTGTGTGGCAAAAGTTCCCTGCAGCGTCTTGGTAATGTGGATGTGGACAGACTCTATGCCGAATTTTGTTTTTCCTCACAGCGTGTGTTCCTTGCCCTCCTTCCGCAACACTGGCCTGGCAGTCAACCTTGACCACTTGAACGCAAAAATCTGAAGATTACTAAATCTGTTGTGCCTGATGGTTTATCTCCACTCGTCCTAAAAGCGTGCGCAGATTATCTCGCGGTAATCTTAACCGCTCTATCCAACCACTGTCTTATGAGTGACACAATCCCTAACAGTTGGAGAGATGTGAGGATAACGCCTGTGTCCAAGAAGGAATCTCGAAGCTATCGTCCGATTGCATGAACGTCGACGATTTTGAAAGTCTTTGAGAAACTATTTGTACCTCAGATCCTCATGAGCAACCAGACAGATGATGTATATCAGTTTGCCTATAAATCAAACCGCTCTACACTGGATGCTTTATCGTATCTTGGACATCCGGTATCATCGGCACTGGATGCAAAATGCAAAGCAGTGCGCCTACTGTGTCTCGATTATTCAGATGCATTTGAGCGCCTCAACAGAGCAATTCTACTCAACCAGCTGCTCACGAGTGGGGTCAATACAAATGTCTGAGGTGTGAGAACTTTACAAACCGTACCTACTCAAAATGTATTTGTTTTTGTCTATTCATTCTCATCTATTTCTCCATCCGCAGTGATAGTATAAAAAGCTGAACATGTACCTACCCAGGTGCATGAAGCCTATTTTGAGTTGACTTGATGTATAACAACTGGAGTCTGTCACCGAAAAATAAGACGAAACAGGCGATATATATATATATACATATATACTTACATATATATATATATGTCAAATGCTGAGGCTGATGTTGCATTCTTGATACTCCTTCACCGCAGTTGGGCTAAACCAACTTACACAAACTAGATCTTTTAAAGCTGGATAAATTTCATTCCACTTTATTTGGTTTGTTCTGTCTACCTGAATAATCTTCTATAAACTAGCCACGTCGCTTATGCTAATTACGCATAGCTTCGGTAACTGTTGCGTTTGTAGCATTTTTGAGTAACTTGTGGACATTTCTTACTAATCGCGGATTCGCTGCTAACCAAGTTACTTCATATGCTAATTTAGCGAAAAGTTATGCCACCGTTTCTCTATGCATTATTGGATTTATTTCATTTCATGTTGTCGTTTCAAGTGCTTGGCCGTTGCTTGATATCCCCGGTGTGGCTGTGCTTGATGTGCATGTTGACAAGGTGCCTACCTGTATATTACCCACTACCTCGTTCATACGGGCTCCAGGAGACAGTTGGTCGTTGCTGGAAGGGACGGGCTGCACGGTCCTTGTGGCCGTGCTAGACTCGCCGAGCGGTTCCATGCACTCAGTGTAGAGCGGACTACGGTGCAGCCACCGCCTTGTGTGCGCATGATTCCCCAAATACAGCGTGCTTGTGTTTGCCTGTGAAGGAGTGTGGGCCGGCTCCGTTGATGAAACGTGGCTCCCATCCACATGCCTCCCGGTCTTATTCCTTCGGGTTTACACTGGATATGGTGTGTGTGGTTGGAGCTGTGGGTGGTGCAGCGCAAGCCACAGGCACAGGCGTCATGTGGCTGGTCACAGTGACAGGCAAATCTGAAACCGGATGCCGCCAACCAGATATATATATATATATATATATATATATATATATATATATATATATACAATTGACTGATTAGTTGCGGTGGAATCCGTTTGTCATTTCCATCGGCGCTTGCTAAATTGTACGAATGTGCATCAGGTGGTAGCATTGGAGGAGACGAGAAAATTACATTAAGCAAGAGCCAGTGATGGCTAAAGATGAAAATATGGCCGAATTAGTTTATTTTGCTTTAGCATATAAGTTTGACAACGCGGAAAGTCATATATACATATATATGTGCAAACACACACGTATATATGAGCCAGTGTGAGGCGGTGATGTAATGGGAGAAAAACAGAAATGTGAACATGTGAACATAGCGAGCGAAGCAAGTGTGGCAATAATCATCGCATCCGTATAAATAGTGGGGAATAATCGCTAATAAAAAACGGACAAACGAACTGGAACCGAGGTGTCTGTGCGATGCCGGTATGCATGAGCGATCGGTTAGAATCAGTGCTAAAAATAGTGATCACGAAATGCGGAAATATCGTTCAACTGGTTAAAAAGGCTTCAAGTGGGAATCAACCGGGTCGTTTATACATTTGGAACGAGAGCTCGGGAATCCTCGGAGAATGATACTGCATAACCTCCCAGTTGTCTGAGGTGAAAGCGAATGCGCCTGTAAATCAGCGCCATAAGGTAAGAGGAAATATCATGGCCGGTGGTGTACGTCCTCTGCCAGGATGAGTTTAGCGAAAAATGACACATTGTTATAGACACAGTGTTCAATTCTCATTTCTTTGCAAGGAAGGGATGTCGAAGCCAATCGAAATCAACGAATTAGAACCGGTTGCAGACTATGGTTACCCGACGAGCCGCGATCGAAGAGATACGTACCGAAGGAGAATGCATACGGCACAAAAAGCAATTTGGAGAATCCACCAACAGCGTCTGAACGGTTACCGCATCGAACGAAGGCCAACTAGTGAGAATCGACGGGACATAGGTGGATCAGAGGTGGGGAATAGTAAAAGTATCAGAGGCGATTGTCCATTTGGGCGTGATATGGGGGAGCCAAAGGCTGACGTTCCGCCTGGTCTAGCTCTCGGCCATAGTGACCGGCGGGAACTGGACCAGCAGCGGTAGTCCCCGAGGGTCGTGAGTTCCCCGTCGGCTTTGAGCTTGAATGTTCGATTACATGGCTGCATGAAAGGACAGTAAGATGGCGTAAATAAAGAACCGCGACTATGGGATTCAATGTGTGGATGTGAAACAACAAACGCTAAGATGTTTACTGAAACGAGACAACCACTGCTCTGAGCAAACGTGTATGGAGGTTTTCAATGGTGTGGAGGTAAATAGCGAAATTTATTTAAAAGCTGTGGACATTTGGTATTCGGTTGGCTTAAACTGTACGTACTAAGTAGCAATAAGCTATTATCCCCCACATCTGTTTATGGGTACTACGTGGTTGTGGGTGTATGTGTGGTGTACGACGGTAGTCAGTGCACACGAAGCACACCTGAGGTGGACAGATTGGTCTACATGTGTATAATTGAGTACAGTTAGCAGGTTGCTCAAGAGTAGCATAGATACTGGCAGACACATGTGTAAGGCGGTTCGCTTTGTGCGCGCACTGTATCTGTTTTGGAGCACATGATGAGTCGCCGTGCAACCACATCCAAGGCATGTGACGTGTAGGAGCAGGTGCGTGCCATTCTCCGCGTGGTTTAAAAATGGGGCCAACGCTTCGCATTGGCACTACTGAATTGTGTTCATTTCACAAAAAGCAAACTTGTCCTCCGATGAAGAGGACGAATTTCGCGATTAAACCGATGGATAAGTTATTTCCTACCTAACTATTTGCTGGAGCGATAACGCCTGATAAATCACTAGAAATGTTCTATTTTGAAAAAACGTGAGACACTTACATTGGCGTGATCATGATGATACAAATATTAATCACCGGCAAATGTAAATGACGGTACATGTTTCTCAGTAGCACATAGACCTATGTGATAGGTGTATATGAATGGATAAAAATTATTCCTCTTTATGTGAGCTGCTCACTTCTGTTATTTTGCTACATATTCTGTGTCAGTTTTGTGTGCTTGCTTTCCCTCAAAGTTTATGTTGGCTGTTTGATATCTCCGATGTGGCTACGCTTGATGTGCACGTTCATAAGGTGTCTACCTGTCTAACACTCTCCGCCTCGACTGCTGGCTCCAGGAAACTGTATCCTGGGGAAGGGGAAGGGGTGCACGGTCTTCGTGGACGTGCTAGGCTCAAAGAGTAGTTCCATGCAACTACTGGGGAGGCACCGCCTTGTGTATGACTGGTACGCATGATTCCCTACATAGATAGACAGAGACGCTGCTCCTGTGCATGTTGACGGACTGTGGGCCGGCTCCGTTGATGAAACGTGGCTCCCATCCACACGCCTCCCGGTCTTATTCCTTCGGGTTTACACTGGATATGGGGTGTGTGAATGGAGCTATGGGTGATGCAAAGCAAGCCACCCAGGGTCCCACTGTAGACACTGGCGTTCTGTGACTATCCTATGGAGGCCATATTGACAGGCAAATCCGGAACCGGATGCCGCCAAGCATATGCGTGATTGTGTCGCTTTAATTTGTAAATGTGACGCCATATTTGTGATTGTTTTCGGTGGGGTCGTCAACGTGAGAAGGGGTGGAAGGAAATCTTCGTATTTGATCACTGACTTCCATGGATTGGGTGAAATTTTTCGGATACGTGAGGCAGTAACCTTAGTGTTGAATCACATTCGCCAAGTCGCACTGTGGTTACGCAGACATTTGTGGTTTTTTGTATGGAGAACGCTTGCCAGGTGGAAACCCACCACGTCCTGGAACATTGCCGATGGTCTGTTCGTAAACGCAAGTAGTGTATCCATGGCACAAAACAAGGGCTTAAGAAGTCCCGTGGGATGGTCAAGACGAGAACCACGAGCCGGATCCGGTCCGCCGAGTGTACCAGAATTTGTTTGGTAAAGTGAGTGAAATACGAGACGTTATGATAAAATTTGTTTTTGACACTGCATGTCATGTTGACTATGGCCTTAGACAGTTTGAACACTCGCGTCGGCCAGCTCATGGGGTCACATGTGACACCCTACAACCGCACTATAAGTGACCCCACATTAAAGAAGCATTAATATGAGTGATCCCGCATGATTACGCATTGTTCATTGTTCAAGTTCATCCATCCGTGAATCATACTGTGTTTCTGTGTACCTCACACACTGCCATAATTTCCGTTGGTCAGTCTCTTTGAGGCACGTGTTATACGGAACGCCGCTTATTAGGACACCATTAGTTTGTGCATATTCAATTTAGAAGGCATGTTTGCTAGCCATTTAGAAAGAATTGCAAGTTGCTTGTAAGGAATTGTGCTTCGTACATTTTGATTTTGATAACTAACACTGGTATCCAGTTCTAACACTGCTTGTTGGTTTGGCTTTGATAGAAACGCTTTGAGCAAGTCTTCCATATATATATATATATATATATATATATATATATATATTGGTAACATTCCTATGTGATGCATATTATTATCGAAGGCACCAACGAACTTCACGTGTGGCTCTGGTGAGCCGTCGTTCCACAATAACCATGAGTCCTGTTTTTCCGATGCTTCAGTAGAATGTGTATTTGTGTTTGAAATTCAAACACTTTCTTGTTCAGATCCCTTTATTTCAGTCTTCACTGAGGCCATTAGGAAAATAAAAACGGATAGCATGTTGTGTTTTCACTTACAGTTTTTTCTGTTTTCCTTCGGGCTTGCAACTACTATGCAAAATGGTTATATGGCTCACGGTAACCACTTTGTCAGTTATGCAGGCCGCCGTGAAAAATTTTGGCGATCCCCGAAGTAAGACACAATACAACGACAATATAACGAGGGCTTTGGGAGACTCACCAAAGAGTACACATGGAGGTTTACATAAGGAAACCTGTCTGGATAATGGCGAACACACGTACGTCACTTTACGCCGTCTCCCGATGTATACGGCCTATAGTTCTTAATGTAAATGGGTCGAGGCAACATCGAGACTTTTTGAACATCGATCATGTTGGAGCGTCCCACTGTTGGAACACAACATCACAGCCGGCTGCACTGTGTCGTCAAATTAAACTGGTGCTTCTCGAGCTCGAGTTAGGAAGATAATAGTAAACTAGTTTGGGTCTCCCCATGATCGGATAGGTCATTACAAGGTTGCCTCGTAGGTTCCCATCCTGACGGTTGTACGACCTTAAGGCTTTCATCCCAATTTGATATGAGTGGTGAATCAGTCCCTTGATGTGTATGGTGGCTCTTCATTGTGGAGTACCAATAAGCAATAAGAGCTTGCTTCTACCACGTCTGCCAGGCCTATAAATCGTTTTCCATATAAGGTCGTATGTAAGTATTAGGCATCTGCCGGCAAACGGATGGACCAAACCATCCCCAGAAAACCGCTAGTACACTAAACTGGTGGTCCCCGGAGACCTTATACAAGACGTGCATACAAGACGTGAGCATGCTGATCATCCGAGGACCAATGTGAACCACCCCACATTCAGACGGATTGAATTGGAGCAGACACTGGGATGACTATTCATAAGATCTCGTTGGAGTGCCTCGTAATGTCCTTGGTCGGTACTGGCACCCCATAGCTTAGGATCATCAGCACAGCGTAAGAAATTTAGACGGTCACACACTTATGGTCAAGGATGAAAGCAAGAAATAGGTGCGACCCCGGTACTGACTTCTGCGAAAAGTCGCAGTTGACACAAATCGGATAGCACAAGACACTCCGTACTCTAAAATGGTTTCCGGTGCTTCAGGAAATTCCTGATCCACACAAGGACAGTATCCCCGAGTGTGCAGTTTTGGAAACTGTGAAAATTGATGTGGTAATCCAGACGACCGAAAGCTCTAGAAAAGTCGAAAGAAATGCAACCGTTCCCTAATTGTCAGTTAGCTTTTCTGTCGAAAGGTCGCGTGCTAACAGTAGATTGATACTGCATATTTGGCGTTAGGAGAAATCCTACTGCTTCTGTGCTATGACATTAAAGTGTTCTAGGTTGTCGATCGAAGCCAAAGCAATGGTTGCTTACATAAATGTTCACAGCACTAGGCGCAAGACTATTGAGTAATAGTTCGCGCGTTCTGTGCTTTCGCCGCTCCTAATTATTCCGTGTTTCTATGGAGCTGATAGAATTCCTTTACCTAAGAGCACTGGTAACTAGCGCAATAACTGATCGGCCAACTTTGTTGCTGTTAGTTTCAGGGTTCTCAGGCGAACGCCACTGACCTATGGAGAACCGCAGATACGCAAGTTTCCTCAACAGCCGCAGTGTTATACGTAAAGTTAGTAAGTTCTCGAGTCTAGTTGTGAGCATTTAATACTGGCGAGCGTCACGTTGGAAGTTAGGTATACCGTAACCTTTGAGTATTGGCCGTTTTTTCAATGCTGCGTGCCACTCCGATTATTGTACGAATTCGTAAGAAAACCGCGCTTCACTTTGACTTATAGGTTATCATGCTTGTACAGCAGGCAACGTTGGTAGACCAGTATGTCTTCAGGAACAAGCTGAAACCTATGTAAATTACGTCGATAGACTTCCACTTGCGCACTGCCTGCAACCATACATGCCTCGTCACTAGGCTGTGAATGCACGAACGATCTAGCATGAAACTGCACTGCACTGGCGTCAGGGGATTTTTTATCGGAAACAGCTGTAGCAAACTCCTCTTCACCATCTTCCGGGCTATCTTGAACAACAAGAGGTGTGGAACAGATTGGCCTGTAATTCGCTACTTATATGTGGTCACCGCACTACTGTATCCCCCTAGCTACCGAACATTTACAATAAATCGACAACGAACCTCTGAACGGCGACCTGCCGAACAAGTCAGTCACGGCATGAGAGATGATGACCGATAGGGACTTGAGAAGCAGTGGATGGAGTCTGTCAGGCCCAGCTGTTTTGGTGCCGCCAAGGTTAGCGAGCAGTTGACGTACCTCCTCCACACCACAATCCAGACTGTCAAATTCGGTCAGGGTGGTACATTTCGAACACAGCAGAAATACCTGGTCATTCGCAAACACGGAAGCGAAGTGCGCCGCAAACGTGGACGCATGCTTAGTGCTGGAGGTTAAAGCTTATCCGTCCGAGCCATCCATCATTTGTAGGGTACCTGACGACTTCAGACGTCGCTTCATGTACGCAACAATTCTCTTTGGAGTGGTCTTCGTGGCCGTTGCAAGCTACTCTTCAAAATGCCGAAGTTGGCTTGTTTTCGCGCTGTTGCAACTATTTCGCTGCTTTTTATATGCTTCCTAGTACTCGGTCGGGTCAGATATAATAAATTTGCCCCACAGTCTACGCCGTTTTCAAACCCGTTTACCATATTCCTTGTCGAACTAGGAGCTTTAGGAGCATAAACCGGTTACACAGTGAGTGTATTCTATTCATTATACTTGTCCAGGAAGCCTTAACAGATGCAGTTTGCGGCAGATCCAAATCTACTTGGCTCGTGTCTCGAGTCAGATTGTCGAAATGGGTTTTTCAGTATTTGTAAGCTGGCTGAACAGACTCATAAAAACTAGACCACGCTGTGGCCACTGGCTTGTCTAGTACAGGGAAGTTGACTATGTAAAAAGTGGTGAAGCAAAAGTGGTTACGCTGGTGGAAATCCTGCCGAGTGGGGCAAGGCGCGGGGACTGGCATTCCTCGTGAATCGGCAACTTGTTAGCTAAGTCGCTTGAGTCAGCAGGGACAAAGTACAAGTTGGAAACCACCTTGGTGTATGCCGTTTTACGGTCCGAATCGTGTCACATCACACCGGGTCAGACTTGTCTGCGTACCAGGTCTCATTTTCTCAATAGTATGCGATAATATCGGCCACTTATTTGCCGTTAGCCTAGCCAATCTTAGGGCTAAGATATACCTTTGCCGTCGCACTCTGCAACACATTGTAACAAACTTGCAAATAATAGGATGATTCTGCAGGAAAGACGTGAATGGCACACGGATATTAAAGCACGTTATTTAGTAGCACCATTTGAAATGATATGAAGAATTAAGTAGATCGCACCAGTTATATTGTCACTATCAATGGCGAAACGTGTGGCTTGTAGGCTACTTCTGAGGCAAGGTTACTTTTTGACAGAGACACGAGGGTCGTGAAGCAATCTGTCTTGGTAGTTCACCGTAATTTCCGAACTGAAACACAACCTGTTAATAACCGTTTCGCCTTGAGCAATAACTCACTATTTTCCCATGTTGTCCAATTTAACCTCGCACATCCTGACACAACTCGTCCCTGCTTTGACTGTTCATAAGGGGAGATTTCTGGACGTTAGATTCCGACACCGGGCGTGGTGTTTACCAGTGGACGAATTGGTCCCTTGGCCGCCGAATCCTGCGAACAACGTTTGTAGCTGTGCTCATTACGTTGGAACAAACACCCTAACATAATCTACTCAGTAATATTCCGCAAGTCACTGCAGTTATACATAGTTGGATGAGACATCCGTGTGTCCTGAAAGGATACTGGAGTATGTATTATATAGCACACGAAGGATGAGGAACAATCACCGAGCATTGCTAAGCGTAGCGGAAGAAGTAGGAACTAAGAACTTCAGTGAACTAACGTGGACCGTAATATTGCTAATCGTTATTCGTTCGTCAGTGGACAGTATTCGAACCAAGTATGCAAACTCTACGTTATGGCATGCTGTGCGTCGGTTTGAGAAACAGTAACAAGAGTAATTTCGGACTTTGTAAAGAAGGGGCAGCCAAATGAACCGAATGGTTAGATTATTTGCTTATATGTGAAGCAATCGGGCTCCTGTGCTTCAGATATGGTCTACTATCATACTATGTGTTCGCGCATGAAAGATCGTGGGGTGCCGGTGTGGAGTCACTCTGTATCGAATATGAGCCGGGTGACCTCCTGGATTTGCACCTTACCCATTCATCCTGAACCCGTTCTGCTTATGTAAGCAAATCATAGAATGACACATCACCCTGGCGCGTGCTGTGTGAGCATGGCGACAGTTCTCTTACGCGCTGTGACCTGCGGGTCTGTCGAGTGTCTACCCGCATTATCACATGCAGTTGATTGATGGGGGCAGCACGTGGTCAGACAACGCCAAGAGTGGGACAAGCTAGACTGGCAAAATGAACTTCACCAATTAAAAGACCCCGTTACATTCACAGTGTTACAACGCAACTCACCAATATGGATTATTTTTATGTGTTGGGTGCTTTGGGGTTGCGTGCTGGCCCGAGCGTTGATTACTTGAACGGACTTTGAAAATGATGACAACAATTATGACAACCACAGCCACCAAGATAACAGCGACGATCACTGCGATGATTTCTGTCGAGAGACCACTGCCGGCCGTGGCAACTTGGGGCGGAGCGTCGAGAGGTTCGCTGCGCTCGGCAGGACCGACATCCCCGGATCCCGTAAGAACTCCTTGAACCCTGTCGACTGGGGCGTTCTCGACAACCGGCATCTCCGCTTGGACAACGACAGGTGCCTCAACTACGAGTTCTTCCGCTGAACATATGTGACCGGCTCTCAGTGTCAGTAGATTATAGTCCGCCAAGTGCGGAGGTTCCGCACATTGCAAACCAGCGACTTTGTCTCTGCGAGAAAGAAATAGAGGGGAAATATGGCGACTGAAGAAGTTGTATGGAAGAGTTATGTCGCTGTGCTACCTCAGAAACAGAAAAGCACAACATTAGAGCCACAACAAACAGTAGTCAAGGTAAGTAACAATCCGGAAACCCAACAGCGAATAATTCGCTAACAGTACAATGAGATTGCAGCTGAAGCTGGTAGGATCAGCCACACAACCATGCACCAGTTAATGAACTATCCATCACAAACACAGCCGATAATTTGAATGCAATAAAAAGTAGACTGGCTGTATAGAGCACTTAGCTTCAAAATAACCGTTTGAACACCTGGGCTGTATGTTGCAACTGATTCCATTAGCAGCTAATTTAGTTCTTGCGCAGACTCCTAACGGACTTATAGACTAATTGATTTCCGGACGAAGTGGTTGACCCGCATCACTCTCACCTATACGCTCAGTCAAAGAGGCATGAAAACCAACACATAGTGGACCATCGCAATCTACAGACAGGTAGTCAGGTAGGGTGAACGGATAATGCCGCCTTTGCGAGGGCACAAGCAAGGTGGCGCGGCACAGCACAGAAGGCTGCACCGTTTTGTGGCGTCCAGATGGTGATAGCATATTTGGGTCCAAGTTGGCCTCGAAGGACATGAAACTTGTGGAATAATGAAGTAATCTTATGCCTTTCCATCTAATTGTCATATATGTAGTATGTAGACTTGTGGGGCTAAAGGAAAGTAGTGAACAGTCTACTCTGGCAAACAGCAATTAAGACTACTACCGCAGTAGTAATGAGTTTATCCCTCTCGAATTTCTTGTGTTAGACAAGCGCATGCACCGTGGTTGCTACCTCTTCAGTTTACGGAAAAAGCGAAGGAAGTCCTACCTTGGGTAAGAGATGGCTTGCTAGCCATGTCACCGACAGCTGCGCGTAGGATTTATCCGTGTCCTCGAAGGGATATCTCCTCCGGTATTCACTTTAGCAGACTACGGTGATACCCTAGTCTGACTAAAGCAAGCTAATGTGCTCTCCTCCCTGATACCTTCAATAACTATAGCATGCATTACAATCGAAGAGCGATTCAGCTCCCACTCAGGTATCAACCGGAGGAACTACCTATGCTACGGCTGTAACATAGCCTATTAGTATGTTGGATGTTGCATTGATGGTCCGTACAAATCAAACAGACAAATCGTTTCTTACAGTAATTGTGCCTGGAGTTGGTGGAAAGAAGGAAGGTTATGCGTAGTGAAGTGTACTTCCGAAGGCAAACAGCACCGCTGCGGTATATCCCACTCACTTGTCAGCATAGAAAACAGTGGCCAGTTACGCGTGTCATTCTGCACCCAACGTCATCACGGCCAGCAATGATGGTCCCGTAGAACACACCTGCTTCTGAAAAGCTATCCACCAGTTCGTCCTATACAAGTATGATATAAGTACTAGACGCCGATGGACATGCCGTGAAGGCAGGTTGTAAGGAATAGTTCAGTTCAGTTCATTTGAACAACTATGGTCCGAATACCAAAGTGCGGTGGATACAGTTACCAAGGCACACAGTAAGAGTAACAATAGATAACAACGGCGGGATAATGGGGTTAGGTGATAATAGAATGTATAGAAACTTGAAGCAAAAAAGAACTGCGTTAGACTAATCAGAACGGAGCGAAAACTAACAGCATAATGAAAAAAACGAATGCAGAAACGCCACTAACTTGGTGACTGCACTATGTCTGATACGGTCCCCAACCATTGGTGTGGACCATCCCGAGGTCCCCATCCAGGAAGACGGCAAGCACCAGCCTAACCAAGTCTCTAAGTTAATATCTTCAGGCTTTCATGCCACGTCATGGACTGACAACCTCGCGGTTTCGTTCAACTTGGTGCAGCCACGCAGATAATGCTCACCGGGGCAGCCGGTCAACGGCTGTACGGAGGAAATGGCCTAGCCAATGCTAACGACTAAGTGTTAGCAAACACTCGAGAGAGATGCCAGAAGGTTTCTTAGCAAAAACCAACTGGCGGACATTGACGTTGCTCACGCGGTGTTCCCACGAGACGTGAGCAATACACCCCAAGCACCGTTGGCCAAACATGGTCAAGCGTTTAATTTCCTAACTGCGAACTGGCCAGATCTGTGATCCGTACAGTAAGACCGGCCTTACCGCTGCGTTATACGCCCTACTTTGCCCTGACAAGCTGATTTCCCGCCATCGCCGTAGATGGTTGGGCTCCTGGAAAGCCACACGGCCTCTGCTGATACACGAAGTAACCTTTTCAGTTATGTGATCACCAGAAGTGACACAGCTACCAAAGTAAGTGAACCGATCCACCACTTGCAGAGGATGTGCGGAAATAGCTAAAATCAGGAGGGGTGTTGACCCAGTTTTGCAACAGCACTTTGCACTCTGAAGATGCAAAGCACATGCTGAACCGTGCAGCGCTAGGCACAAGTATGTGCAGTAGTGTTTGCATAACCAATGCATCAGACCCAAGGAGAACTATGTCGTCCGCATACTCTAGGTTTGTCAGTCGGTCGCCTGGCAGAACTTCCACACCAGAATAGTCTGAAAGAACTAAGTCGATCATTATCATTTTGATCCCAAAGTTGAAGAGGAAAACAGATATAGGACAACACTGGCAAATCCCACTTGTCGTGCGGAACTCAGGAGACAGTTCTCCGTAGACCCTTACACGGTCTCGATAAGTACGACAGAGAGGCTTCCGAATAGAAAGGAGTCTAGATGGCACACACTTCATTGAAAGGCAGTGCCACTAGCTAGCACGATCAACAGAGTCGAAGGCGGCTTTCTAGTCAAGGAAAACTACCATAGTCGGTCGTTTGTATTTGTCTTTGGACTAAAACTTGGCGAACAGTAACTGTGCGGTCGATACAACCACGACCAGGAAGAATCCAGCCTGAGTTTCAATGATTCGGTCCCCACAGAGATCAGTAAGAAGTCGAAGAATGATACTTGTGAGGAGTTTGATGCAATGGCAGCAAGGCTAATGCCTCGATGATTTTCGCACAAAGTACGCTCGCGGATCTCAGTGGCATAGTGATCAGGACGTCGGCCGTGAACCATTAGACTCTGAGCTCCACCCCAGCATAGACTACCTTCATCTGATGAGTCCAAACCAGGACGACACCGCGCTCGTGGTGTGTCTGGGTTGGGAGCAGCAGTACCGAAATACGCTGAACCCTCTTGAAGATAGGCATAACAGTTGATAGTCGCCAGTCTGAAGACGCTTCTTCAGTGTCCCAAATCGTGCTAAAATTAGAAGCAAGTTCAGACAACAATGAGTCAACACCACTTTCAGAAAAGATGGAGTGTCCAGGGGCCTTGTTTTGTTTTAACACGGAAACCTCATATCGAATCTACTCCAAAGTGGAAGGCGTGATATCAACTTTCCACGCCGGCTCAGGTGATTCGGCAAGTGATAGTGTCGCAGCACGCCTGCTAACCACTTCCTAAAATGTTCTGCGCAACGAGCTAGTCCACGATACTGAGAAGGGATCAATAGTGCATCTTTCTCAGCAATCGTCTCCTTAACCGATAGCTTTCTTGGATCCTTGTTCCGGATGAGGTGGAATAGTCCTGGCTGTTGCGAAGTGCGCTGGCATTCTCCATCTCACGCGCTTTCGCAACCCACCAACGTTCCAGGTCAACTCGAAGACTTCTTGTCGGACGTCATTTTAGGGAGTTACGGACGCCCTGAAACGCAGTGCTCATCAGAACCCACTTACAAGTTTTGATCAAATTGCTTGCTGCGTCAAATACCCATTCACAGTCGTCCAATCGGGTGCGCAGCTAGCGCCAGACATTCTTCATGGCACAATTGTAAGGATCCCAGTCAACGTTCGGCTCGCCAACCTCCTTCATCAGTGGCAGCTGGTGAGCCAGTTCGGCATGGTAGTGTTACTTCGCAGACTTCGAGTTTAATTTACAGGCAAGATTAGATAGAAGTGCTACTGAATTGGGAAGAGTGAGTTTCAGGAATGTGAGCACTGGAGCATGGTCGGAGTCCAGGCATGTGCTCTAAATTAACCGACAGCCCTGGACTGATGTTCCCCATCTGTGTGTCTTCTCAATATGGTCAATTTGGGTCCAGGTCCTGGTGGAATTGGGTGAGCGCCAGGTGATACGGTGTGAACGGTTTATGTTGGAAAGCAGTGCTGCTAATATAACAATTGTGGTTGGCGCACAATTCCAGGAATCGATCACTATTGTCTGTTCGGCGTGCATCGACTCCGAAGTGCCCTCTCAGGTGTTGTTCCGAATCTGAAGGACGACCTATATGGGCATTCAAGTCACCAGCAAGAACCACGATATAAGAGGTAACGCCCTTTACCACTAGTCAACGGTGTTTTAAAGTCCTCTGTTGCGCTTTCTTACAGCAACACATCAGCAAGAGAGAGCTGTTTAGAAATCATCGAGTCAGCGTTTCAGACCTCGTTAGGGTAACTCTTCTGAAGAGTAGGAGAGCGATTGGTAGTGGAATGTTACGCTGGAACGCTCAAGGTCATATGCACGTGGTTCAAAGGATAAAGAGAACCATGAGTAACTTGCGCGTAAGCGTTGTGCCAACCGAGATATTTCTACCAGTTTTCGCACCTACGCCTAGCAATCTAACTGGTATACGACGCTTTCCATTTACTTTGCTGGTCTAGCTGGTCCCCATGGTCCAGGTACCGGCAGTCACGGCCAAACGAAGTCCTAAGACGTGTCTTTTTAAACGCCTGTGTGTCTTTGATTAGCACCAAATCAGCAGACCACCACACGCAAGATATCACAGACCCAAACCTTTCAAGAATTCATGTCCACGAGTGCACAACGCGCCTAACTGATGTGTCACTTAGAAAGTCCCATCGATCCAAGAAGTACAACTGTAACTCGTGACCCTATAAGAATAGAGCAAAATTTTCCAGCTGGTAACATTATGGGTATAAGTAGAACACCAGGTGGTAGTATAACAACCCCGATCAGATTGTTGATAAATCGGCT